CATCGGCGGCGTGGTGATCTAGGGATGCTCCAGGACAGTGACCTTCCTTATGTGTTAGGTCAACTTAAGGGTACCGACGCCACCAATTTTCTGATGAAAATTGGTGGCAAATTTCGTATGACAAAAGTCTTTTATGAGAGAAACCTCCTGCGATGGACTAAAAAACATATTGGCCTTTATAGCTCAGTGGCAGAGCGTCTCACTCGTAATGAGAAGGTCCTCGGATCAATCCCGAGTGGAGGCACGTGAACTTATTGTTTTGCTTTTGCTCATTAGTAAACCTTTTTCGTGAAGAAAATTAACTCCTTGAGGCGACTTGTTTTCCCCATGAGCAATAATGGTATGTCCTTAGATTTGATCATTAAAGCATTAGTGTTGCATATGACACTTTTTAGTATGAACAAGCTGTGTTTGATGATGATGGAAGGGATATCAACTTCTTGACATGGGAAAAAGATAAAATGACACTGGATGTCAGAATAATTGTTTTTGAGATATTCTGACTTTAACCATGATGTTTGTTTGTTTGGATGTCAGAATAATAGTCTCGATACAATCAGCGGAAGGCATGAGGGTTTTGAGCCTTGGTTAAACCTGCTCAGTAAGCGACGCGTAAAAGGAGAAAAGGCCTAAGCTAGCTTTATTGGATTTGGGTGTGATACGGGCCGAGGATGTTTGCTCTGGGAACGAATGAAATGAAGTTGTTGAGAGGATTGGAATGACACGGTAATTTTTTTTTTGGGTGTGGAAGTAGAGGAACTGTGAATAGAGGTTCTTCCGAGCATAGTGAGGATGGTGGTTAGGTCATGTCAAGTTTGAGGAATCGACTATTACCGTTTAAGCAATGAACTCCATTACGTCCGTGTGACTCAGAGAGGATGCTGGCAGGTCAAACTCGACGCCCTCAAGGTTCCCGCCCTTTCTTCCCACAACAGCACCGGAAATATACGCGCGAAAGCCCATCGAGTTTCGTTTCAAAACCAAGACGCCATCCTTGACATAGCCACAACACTCATCATCCTCTTCACTACCACCGCCGAAAAATCCACTCCTCCAACCCAGGATCTACCTCCCACCTAAAGCTCAGTCGGAGCATCCCTTGCGGCTTCCAGAAAAGTCGCCACCCTTCCTCCTCCTATTCCTCAAGCATCAATAACAGAGAGCCATCGCTTCCAAACTAAACGGGAAATGCTTTCGCGCCACCAAAAAAATTAATCAATAAATGATAAGTGTGGCCTTCATTTTAATATGGTACATGGTAAAGAGGAAAAGAAAAAGAAAAAGTGCAAAACAAAACAGAGTTGCCTCCAGTAAAGAGCCAGACTTAGAGATCCGCAGAGTCATCCCAATCGCTGAGGTTGGTGTCATCAAAGTATGATCCGTCATACTCTTCATCATATTCTTCATCACCCTCTTCCTCTTCGTCCGAGATGCCCTCGATATGCTGGTAGAGACATGCGTTGACCATGCCGATCGGGATATCCATGAGGTCCGGCACATAGTCATCCGTGAGTGATGATGCCGAGTTCATTGTCAAAAGGGGGTTGGCGTGTTCATCTATGTGGTGTCCAAGGTGTGGTGAATAGAGAAATGATCTTTCAGTTTGCTGGAATAGAATTGACGGGTGAAGGTCAATGCAAGGTAGCAAGACTTACCTGTGATAGTCTGAAAAGAGTCAAAGGGCTCAGTGTTGTAGAGGTTGATGGCAAAGAATGCCACGTAAAGATATATGACCAGCACAAACAACCAGATTGGCAGTGCTAATGACCAGTATCTAGACCAATGAGAGAAAAATAACTGGCCGTGTCAGAACCAATGCCGAGAATGAGGTAAACAATTAGATCAAGTTGTTGAAACAAGAAGAACATACTTGCTAGGATAGTAGGTGATGCCCATTGAGTCGAGGATCTCCTTTGGTAGATACGCCCATCCAAGGTACATTGCTAGAAACGAATTGCAAAGAGACGATCCAGGAATGGTCAGTGGGGGGTTCAATTGAGAGACCACCATATCGCCGGTAGCAAGAAAACTATTTGGAAAAAGTACCATAGGTGATGCCGGAGACGAGGTAGAGTACGAATCCATAGTACTCATAGGTGGGTGTCTTTGTCAATGTCGTGGGAAGTGAGTCGTCTACGGGCGATGAGTATGTGTCTGGCGGACTAAATTAACCACGCATGGAAAATAGATTAATTAGACACACGTTTGTGGAACAAATTCATTCGCGTAGACTGATCCAAGACTGCTACGGTTGGTGTTTCCTATAGGATTCGAATTGTGACCTTACTGATTCTGCCCGCTCAAGGCACGGGTATGTTGTAGTGTGGGCTTGTACAATGGCCGTGACTTTTTTGACAAGAAGCTACTATACGATGCGGTCCTCTTCATCCTACATCGGTTGTTTTGTCAACGATATAATAGGGGATGTTAATCGACTGGGTCTACATTTCTGTATCAAATTATCGAGATATTTGAGGATGCGAGGATAGAATAGCATACCCAGTGTTCTCCATGGGACTCGGGAACTCTAGGTCGTCCCAGGGCATGAAACTGGATCTGTTGGGCAGGTTGGAGTGTGATTGTGTAAGGGAGGGCACTGCTGGTTTTGAGCGACGTTGGTGTGCAGAGGGACTGGCTGTAGGATCATTCAGGGACGAGGGCAAAGCCGAGCTAAATGAGGAATGATGAGCGCCTCCGGAATTGTGGTTTGTGTGCATGAGGAGGGTGATTGTATGTCCTGGTGGTGCTTGTGGTTGTGGAGGTGTAGGTCTGTTGCAAGATTTTGACCAAAGAGAGAGAAAGCACGTTGTATGGACTTCTTCGAGTGACGTGGATTCTTTCATTTCATTTCAACCCTTTTTCCCTTCTTTTT